ACCCCGCCCCCTAGCCTCCCTAAGGACATGACCTTACTCTACCATCCAAGACTACAACCACTATGCCTACAACAGACTAAGGATAATCACTCGCACACACTAGGCAAATGGACCAGACTAGGAGAAAACAAGTTCAAGCTAATAGAAAGCCTAACACTAATGCAAACTAAAAGGGCAATAATTTAACTAACGCAAGGGGAAGGAGAATAGGAAAACGGGAGGTACCAACTTCCAGGAAAGAAACTGGAAGTTGTCTGTGGTGTACACGACACTGATGTGGAACCTAGCAGCCCTCCTACGATGCACGCCCACTCCTCGCTCGTCTCAAATAGCCACTATGTATTACCTGAAAGACACATCAAACACACGAACCAAAAAAGATGTTGCCTCCGCTACCACCGGTGGAGCCCCAACAAAAGCAAAGAAGAGTAAAACAAGAGGAAAAGAGGGTGGAAAGATAGTGGGGATAATTGGTCTAGGAGAAGTCTTCGTAAAATCGGCAAAAGATCTTTTTGTTTGAACTAATTAGGATCAATTGACAATCGAAATCAGAAATTTGGATGAAATATTTTTTGTTTGTGGAAATCGTGAGCGAAAATGATTAAATACAATTTTAATCAAAAGATCAAATCAACCAGAATTTAATGCGATTGAGCAGAAGAAAATAGATTAAACAAAAAACCCCAAAACGAACAGATTTGGTGAAAAAACCCTAAAAGTGTAACATCCCATTCATTCAGAATAGATGTGGATATGTTAAATGGGTATTAATTTGATATTTTAGACATATGAAGTCCTAGTGGGATGATTATGGGTGAAAATAGTTCTTTTGGAATCAAGACGGAGAGTGAGGTGCATAAGATTCAACAAAATCGACTAAGTTGCAGAAGGTCCGTCTTCCAGCAGGTTTTAGTTGAAACTTTGTAAAGACTTTGGGAAAATGCAAAGCATGAATGTTGTAGGCCTTTGAAATATCTTTCCAACGATATATTGTGGATCCCAAACAGAGCTCTGTGCAAAACGTTATGCCCGTTTTACAGAACAGTGTGTAACCACCGCGTTAGGCCGCGTTTGACCGTGACCGTGGTCATGAGGCAGTGCTCCAGCTATATACTGCGGTAGGGGTCACGATCAGTCCTACTGGGACGTGGTGGCCGACTTGGGAAGTCGTTTTTTAGCCTTATTTCGTCATCCACAACCCCAAAATATAAAAACTTGCCCTAGAAAGGAAAGCTCTCAAAAACTTAACTCCTTAAGGGTCCCGCCACCACCAAAGGTAAGTTCTAATGGTTATTCTAAGTTAATTTCAATTTTCCAACATCTTATTAACATGGGTAAACCCTCCATATCATTAGATATTCGATTGGTACATCATTATTGAGAAAAGAAACCCTAGAACTTGAATTCAAGAAGATTGACGTCAAAAAGGTAATATCTTCACCCTCTAATTGATTATATCATTGAATTAATAATTATAGACTCTAGTTCATGATATATGAGTTGATGGGTTTGATAGAAAAGCATGAACGGTGATAGGTTTGGGTCGTTGATTGGTTATTATTGGTTATGGGTGTTGATTACCTTGTGGGTGATAAAGAATAATGTTGATTATAACCATTTGAGATTTTAGAATTTATCTAGGAGCAAGAGAATGGGTTATTGGGTGTAGAGACACCATTAATAAGGGCTATGAAGCTTTATGCTACCAAGTGTTTGATAAAATGCCTAAGTGACCAAAACATGACTATTGTTGCTAATTTGGAATCCCTTTGACTTGTATTGATATAGATTAAAGTTGAAAGGGTTGGCGAATGTTGTATTAGGCTCAAGAGCAGGAAGTTAAGGTATGTAGGCTAACTCTCTATGTTTGAGAACGTTAATGATTCTCCCTACACTACATTTCTTTTTCGACGTTACTAATTGCCTCAGAAATATAGTTTAGCCTAGTTCCTTGAATAGTTGTATAACTTCTATTCTTCAGCTTCATAACTCGTTCATGACTTTCATTCTGAATGTTGTGAGCTCAGTGCATATTCAATATAGACTTGGGTTTGATTCCCCCGAGTCTTAGTATAGATTACTCAGTATGCCATAAACAATTGAAGTTTCAGTGTTTATAGTCAGTTCAAGAATACATGTCTTAGTCTAGTCCTTATTCCAATATTATGTAACTCAATGTGATCCAGTATTCCAGTATCATGTAACTCAGTGTGATTCAGTATATCACTATCATATGTTGCAGTATGATTCTCAGTTCCTGATTTTAAATTCCTGAATGTTGAACACCTGTATTTGGGACTAAGGTCGTAGTTTATATGCTTTATGCATACTTGGGCCCGAGGCTGTAGTTTATGCTTTAGCATGTTTGGGCCTGAGGCCGTAGTTTATGCTTTATGCATGTTTGGACCTGAGGTCGTAGTTATGCATACGTATACTTGGGCCTGAGGCCGTAGCTTGTGCATTTATATATTGGGCCCGAGGCCGTAGTTTATCAGATAAACAGGTTGTTCATCATTCAGAAGAGAGAGTATTCATATCCTTACTTACTTTGTTCAGTTCAGTTATCAGTTATTAGTTATTATTTCAGTTATCAGTTATCAGTTATCATTTCAGTTGTCACACCTCCTCTTTCCACCCCCGCGGGGGTGCGTAGGGAANAAAAGTTGATAATATTATTCTTGTTTATTTTTATTATAAAAATAGACTTATGTTCGAAATTATGCTTAAAATTAAGAACGTTCGTCGCTCTTGTATGATCAAATAGTGAACTGCACATCTCGGGTTATATGAAATTAATATTGATATTCTCCGGAGAACCCCCTTTTTATTAAATGTTCGCTCGAAGTTGCGCGAACGCATAATCCGAATTGCTTTTAGAAATATAATCAGGTTACGCGAACGTATCCCTAATTACCCAGAATATTCTTGATGGTAGCATAAATTTTCCATAAATTGTTTATTACGTCCATGCATTTTTATG